TCTGGTCTTGTCGTTCGTCCTTTGGGAGAAGAGGCCAACACCTGCCTCTCTACACCCTCCTTTCAGGGAGTTGTAGAGGGCAATGAGGTCTCCCCTCAGCCTCCTCTCCTCCAAACTAAACATGCCTAGTTCCCTCAGCCTCTCCTCATAGGACTTGTTCTCCAGGCCCCTCACCAGCTTGGTGGCTCTCCTCTGGACACGCTCCAGCACTTCTGGACTTTACTCACCGGCTTCACATCTTTGGCCTCTTGGATTTTATTATCATTTATTATTTAGCAAATAAGGACGATGAATACCGAGTCGGTTTACCCAAGGTTCATGAATCACAGCATCTTATCAGCATCTTAATCAGCTTCTGGTAGGGATAAAATGATAACAGCCTGAGCTATAACAAACACGCTCCGAGTTTCACGCTTGAAGTCAAACCAGCTACGGGAGAGACTGATTCTTCACCCCTGATTCCACACCAACGAGCTAATCCCTTTGCTGCAGGACCCGCGTCCTACCAAAAGTGGATGCAAGAAAATGGGAAGAATAAAATGCCCAAGGAAAACCAGGCAATTCAGCAGCTCGCGTTTGGGGCACGTAAAGTGAATTCTACCAATAATTAAAGAAAAATAAAAAACACCAATGAAAAGTCCTTAAATAGATTTTAAAGTTAGCCTGAATTAAAACGCCAGCTTCCATGAAGAGGCAAGTTAATTACAGTCTGGTTTAATTAAATACTAAACAACACTCAAACACCGCTTAGTGCTGATGTTCTAAAATACATTGAATTAGGGAAGGAGTCGCCACCACCGCTTAGTGCTGATGTTCTAAAATACATCGAATTAGGGAAGGAGTCGCCACACGAGCACAGAATCATAGAAACACAGAATCACATGGGGTTGGAAGGGACCTCTGGAGATCATCCAGTCCAACCCCCTGCCAGAGCAGGGCCACCCAGAGCAGGTCCCACAGGAACGTATCCAGGTGGGGTTTGAAGGTCTCCAGAGAAGGAGACTCCACCACCTCTCTGGGCAGCCTCTGCCAGGGCTCTGCCACCCTCACAGGAAAGAAGTTCCTCCTCATGGTGAGATGCAAATTTCTATATTTATGTTTGTGCCCATTTCCTCTTGTCCTGTCCCTGGGCACCACTGACAAAAGCCTGGCCCCATCCTCCTGACACCCAACCCTTTAAGGATTTAGAGGTGTTGATCAGATCCCCCCTCAGCCTTCTCTTCTCCAGACTAAAAAGCCCCCAGTCCCTCAGCCTTTCCTCAGCAGAGAGATGCTACAGGCCCCTCAGCATCTTTGTAGCCTCTGCTGTCCCCTCTCCAGCAGTTCCCTGTCCTTCTGGAACTGGGGAGCCCACAACTGGTCCCAGTGCTCCAGCTGGGGCCTCCCCAGGACAGAGCAGAGGGGCAGGATGACCTCTCTCGACCTGCTGCTCACACTCTTCTTGATGCCCCTCAGGATGCCATTAGCCTTCTTGGCCACATTATTGGCTCATGGTTGTCCCGGTGATATTGGGCATCCTGTTCCCCACCAGGACTCCCAGGTCTTGCTCCTCAGAGCTGCTCTCCAGCAGGTCCCCCCCAACCTCTCCTGGTCCATGGGGTTACTCCTCCCCAGGTGCAGCACCCTGCACTTGCCTATGCTTTCGTGATCATTTTCAAACCAATTTGAGAAGAAAGTATCTCCAAGCACCCTAACTTGATGCTTCTCCTGTCAGAAGTCTATTTTGTTTGTCTCTATGAGATTAAATATCCTCCAGAATAGCCTGTGGCTACGTTAGAAAATGATACATATCTAAATTATGTAAGTTAAAACAATGTAAATGAGATCTAAGCAGAGAAAGCAAGAATTAGACAGAGCCTGGCTCTTGGATTGCAGGAGACATGGCAGCCTTCTTTTAATAACCCTGAGGAGTTGCCTGTTTTTTCTATACAAAGGATAAAATTTAAATTTTCGCCCCCTCTGTTGCAATATATCTTTAGGTCTTTCATTAAGTATTCGAACAAATTCACATTGAAAAGATTTTGTAATACCCATTCGTCTGGGAAAGAATATAGCTCTTCCTTTAAACACTTTTTAACCTATTCGCTATTTTGGGACTTCATCGTAAGAATTCAGCCCACTGACTCCTCACCTTGGAGCTACGCAATGGAAAAACCCAGCACCAACGTGGTTTCATTCCTCCTTCAGAGTCCCACGTTCAAGCAGTGAGTTGAATCTCCCCTTCTTTGGTTTTCCATTGACATAACCAAAGACCTCAGAATCACAGAATGATCTGGGGTTGGAAGGGACCTCTGGAGATCATCCAGTCCAACCCCCTGCCAGAGCAGGGTCACCCAGAGCACGTCCCACAGGAACGTGTCCAGGGGGGGTTTGAAGGTCTCCAGAGAAGGAGACTCCACCACCTCTCTGGGCAGCCTCTGCCAGGGCTCTGCCACCCTCACAGTGAAGAAGTTCCTCCTCGTGTTTAGGTGGAACTTCTTATGTTCAAGTTTGTGCCCATTTCCTCTTGTCCTGTCCCTGGGCACCACTGAAAAAAGACTGGCCCCATCCTCTTGACACCCACCCTTTAAGGATTTATAGGTGTTGATCAGATCCCCCCTCAGCCTTTTCTTCTCCAGACTAAAAAGACCCACGTCCCTCAGCTTTTCCTTGTAAGGGAGATGCTCCAGGCCCCTCATCATCTTTGTAGCCCTCTGCTGTCCCCTCTCCAGCAGTTCCCTGTCCTTCTGGAACTGGGGAGCCCACAACTGGTCCCAGTGCTCCAGATGGGGCCTCCCCAGGGCAGAGCAGAGGGGCAGGATGACCTCTCTTGACCTGTTGGTCACACTCTTCTTGATGCTCCCCAGGATGCCATTGGCCTTCTTGGCCACAAGGGCACATTGTTGACTCATGGTTGTCCCCGTGATATATTTTTTTTTCCAGTCTGATCTGCCTCCAACTTTTTTCTCCAAGGTCATCTTGCACATATGCCACCAATTTCTCTTCATCTGCCACAAACTCCAGAAGACAAATGCCTGTAGTCCAATGGTTTGGGGTGAAACCAGCCTCCTGGGGGCCACTTTGCCACGGCACAAGCTGGCCAAGGCAGCTTTATATATTAGCTTTATATATTTCAATATATATATAATTTTTGAGACATTCAAACCCCACCTGGACACGTTCCTGTGCCACCTTTTTTGGGTGGACCTGCTCTGGCAGGGGGTTGGACTGGATGATCTCTAGAGGTCCCTTCCAACCCCAGATACTTCAATATTTAAATACAATTGTTTTATCGAGTGCCAGGAAGCAGCTTCTAAAATATTCAGGATTGTATGACAGCAGATATAGAAAATCTACATCACATGGATATTAAGGTGGAGCTTTGAACACACGCCAGGAAAAAAAAAAATAAAGTTTTTTTAAAAAAAAGGAAAGTGGGCGAGAAGTAGCCTCTTGTCCAAACCATCTTTGGGCTGGAAAGCACAAAATTACTGTTATTTCTAGTGAAGGAAAAATAACTGTGCACTTCTGAGCTCATTCTATCACCCAAGCACTGCTGGAGTCTGCAGCCCTCTTACAATGGGGATATTTTTGAAGAGACTATTATTCACAGAGGGTTTTTTTATTTTATTTTTTTCCCCCCGAGCCTCTAGTGCTTTGACTGTGAAACCAAAGTTCCCCCCGAGCTACGGTATCTCCCACAAAGTAGCGTGCATAAATTTGCCAGGGAAAAAGAAAAGAAAAGGGAAAAAAAAAAGAAAAGGAGAAAAAAAAAAGAAAAGGGAAAAAAAAAAAAAAGGGTGAATAAAAAACGCCTTTGAGGAACTTTCAGATGGGTCTCCTCCCCGACTGATCCACCAGCTGAAAGAGCGACCAAAGTCAAGGAGAGAATATTTTGTAAATGAAGTAGCCACCGGGTGTTTGATGTTGGGTTCCATTTGTTGGTGACCACTCTCCTCCACAAAAAAAACCTATTTCCGAGGAATTTCACACATTGGGGTAAAAGTCAACACCCACAACTGGCAAAGTCAAGGAGAGAATATTTTGTAAATGAAGTAGCCACCGGGTGTTTGATGTTGGGTTCCATTTGTTGGTGACCACTCTCCTCCACAAAAAAACCCATTCCTGAGGAATTTCACACATGGGGGTAAAAGTCAACACCCACAACTGAGGATGCAAATAGAAAGAAGGAAGCCTTGACACAATATGACACTTAATGGCTAATTACATTCAATGAAATATCTCCCCAGGCTGATTTTTGAAGGTGCTTGTACAGGCTCACAAGAACAACTGCTGGAAAACAAAATCCACGGGGAAAACCACCGAAACACCTCAGCTGAGATGTTCTTTTTCCAAAGCACGACTTCTCTCTGAGCTAAATTCTTTCCGTACCAGCAGACTTTACTTTCCCACTAGTTACATCATTATGGTAAACATATTTCAACGCCTTTTTCCAGCATTAAAAGATGACATTTTTAGACAACTCCCTTCTAAAGATGGACTTCAAACAGACACCAGACTTGCAGCTCAACATACGATTAACTCAATCAAAGCCAAACTTGAAAACACACAAAAACAGTCAATAATGTAGTTTAAAAACCTAAAACAATAACTGCGTGTTCTCCAAACAACAGGTTCTCGCCTGTGGATCCGCATTTCTACGGCACGATCATTCCACCACATGCACCCAAGTGACTTGGTTTGGCTCCAGAGAGAAGCCCCTCCAGGTCCCACCTCACTCATGTTTCGTTTGCCTAAAGAAACCCCTTTTTGATCCTTTAAGATCTAAACTTTAGGATTTAGGATCTAAATCCTACGTTAGGATTTCCAGGGCATCCTCTTCTTCAGAATTCAGGTCCATTTCTCCTCACTAACCTCGCCACGTTGGCTTCACCGCAGGGTTTTCCCACCTGGCTCCACTGTCTCTCCCTTCGTTAAGGGATTAATCACCCACTAACGACCATCCCCTCTCGCCACCGCGTATGGACATTCACAGAAGAGCTGGTGAACACAGGTCCTACCTGTATAGGCCATGTTCTTCGGGTTGCCGTAGGGAGCCCCAGGTTGGACGGGGCTGTAAACGGGGTTCATGGTGGAAGACGGGGAACTCTGAGGACAAAAGAAAAGCAGAGTTGAGACGACCACCTTACGTGAGCTCCAAAAGTCGTCTTGTGCACAAAGAGTCTTCTGCTAAATGACAGCATTTACCCGTGTTAGAATTCAAGACACGGAGAGCTGTGAAGGAAAGGGTTTACAACCAGACGTAACAACCAGAGAACATATTTAATAATTCAAGTTTTGGATCTCTCAGTTAATTCCCCAAACTTCTTCAACGCTGCATATTCTGCCTACAAATGTAGCCCGAGCAGATTGATCTTCCACATCCCTGCCTTCGGGGGGGGGGCTCAGGACTCATCACCCCACTTCTCGCTCGGCGACGAACAAAGAGGAAAAGCCACAAATTCAGGCAAGTAATTGTGTCCCCCCCCCTTGGAGGAGCTAATAGTTCTTGGGTGACAAAATCGACCACAAGGAAGACCTGACCTTTCAGAAATTAGCAGATAAAAAGACCATTTGCTGCCGGCAAGATGGAAAGGGGCAAATATTTGTGAGCTTTTCAGCATGAGATGGCTACAATAAGTTGGAGCCCAAGGCTTGGGTGCTGTGCTCAGGGCACCCGGGGCCACCCACCACATCCCACCGCTGTCCCAGACGGGGAGATGTAGTCACAGAACGAGAGCAAACGAGGTTTTAACAGCCCTTCTGTTTCCCTCTCTAATAAAGATGATGAAGGAGCACCGGGGTAGCTTCTCCTGAGTTTTATTTAGAGGAAAGCAAGGAACTTGGGAATTTGTGTCTACTAACTGTCAGTTAAGCAACTGGCTCAGTTAATTATCTTAATGAAGCGCATTCTCAGTACTGATTAATGGGAAAATCCGTCATTAAGCTTTATTAGGCGACGCATTTGTCTCCACAGCTATCTAGTGACAATTTCACACCAGAACTTCAACGATCTTGCTTCAAAATGTGGGCTTTTTTTTTTTTTTCTTCTTTTCCAAATGTATTATTTTACAGTTCATAAATAAAACCGTTCTTTCCAAACAAGTCTCTCATGATGGATGCACAATTTGTTAGATCATTAACTCCTTCCGCTTTATCTCGGGATAGTAAACAAGTCAAATGTTAAATGGTAGCGCCAATTGACTTGACAACAATTACTGCTTAATTAATTAGCCTTCCCTCCACCCCCAACTTCACACAGAAGGAGCAATTCTCAAAGCAAAGGAAATCACGGTTAGAAAGTGAGCTGGAGGAGAAAGCTACACGGAGACATATATTTACATCAGTGGCTTCAGTAACGTGTGATGGAGCTCTGAAGACCAACAGGAAAATCAATGCTTAATTAATTAGCCTTCCCTCCACCCCCAACTTCACACAGAAGGAGCAATTCTCAAAGCAAAGGAAATCATGGTTAGAAAGTGAGCTGGAAAATGCAAAACCTAGAATCATAGAATGGTTTGGGTTGGAAGGGATCTTAAAGACCATCCAGTTCCACCCCTGAACACCTCCCACCAGATCAGGTTGCTCCAAGCCCCCTCCAACCTGGCCTTGAACCCCTCCAGGGATGGGGCAGCCACAGCTTCTCGGGGCAACCTGGGCCAGGCTCTCACCACCCTCACACCAAACAAGTTCTTCCTAAAATGAGACGCGTCCATGAGACATCATGGTTGGGGATTTACATCCGAGCATCAGGGGTTTATGGTCGTTTGGTCCCCATGTCCCCGGGCAGTGCTCCAAGCCCCGGGAAGCCTGGCCCGGGGCAAGTGGGTGTTTACTGGACTGTCTTCTGGACCGAGGTCTTGCTTACTGGAGAAAACCCAACATCATCCATCAAACCCACCATCACCATTTGAGATGGTGAACATCAGCTTCCCTAAGTGCCCATCCAAAAGCCTGGCTTTTGAGCTGCCACACATTACATGTCCACATATGTGACACGACACCTCCCTACCACTACTTTAAACACATCCAACTTCTTCATACGAAGATGATAGTCAAAAAACATCCATATTTGCAACAATTACATTCTTTAGTGAAAAAAATAATCTTGAATTAAGCCCAACCACCACATCTTTATGTAACGTTATTTCTCCAAACAACTCATCGTAGACACGGCACCAAAGTGACACGCTTCTCCCTGTCCAAAGCATGAAGGACATGTTTCACCTGACTTCTTCAGTAAGCTGAAGGCATCTGAAAGGAGATGGTTTGATGGTAACAAGGTGGGGGAATGCGCTGCCCAGAAGTGCCACCACAACAAAATGCCCGAGGAGCATCTACTGCTGCTCTAATCACGAACCCAGAAGCCAAAACCTCCTCCTTTTCACTCAAAAGCATCCATCACCGATGGTTTAGGGTTTTATGCAATTCAATTCCATCATCACCCTGCAAATGCAGATTCCACATCAACAGCGGGAATAAGGCAAGAAGGTGTTTCAAACTCTTAATGGTTGCAAAATATTCTGACAAGGAAAAGCACTATAAGAATCCAAAGATATGTCTAAATAATTCAATGTGCAATCAGGGATGATCCGGCATCAAAGCATTTTGTTCTGAGGCTCCTTCAGCACAGGAAGGACATGGAGCTGTTGGAGAGGGGCCAGAGGAGACCACAAAGCCTGGGGCTGGAGCCCCTCTGCTGAGAGGGTTGGGGGGGTTCAGCCTGGAGAAGAGAAGGCTCCAGGGAGACCTTTGAGCCCCTTCCAGTCCCTCAAGGGGCTCCAGGAAAGCTGGGGAGGGACTCTTGATGAGGGAGAGGGGCCCCAGGAGGAGGGGGAAGGGTTTGACACTGAAAGAGAGGAGATGGAGATGAGATGTGGGGAAGAACTTGTTTGGTGTGAGGGTGGTGAGAGCCTGGCCCAGGTTGCCCCAAGAAGCTGTGGCTGCCCCATCCCTGGAGGGATTGCAGGCCAGGTTGGAGGGGGCTTGGAGCAACCTGGTGTGGTGGGAGGTGTCCCTGCCCAGGGCAGGGGGGGGAACTGGATGATCTTTAAGGTCCCTTCCATCTTGAACCATTCCATGGTTCTATGAATCCTCCACCCAGGACCACACAGTGACAGTGGGACCTGACACCCTCAGCAGCAAAATCAACTTAAACGGTCCTAAATTTCCAGGGGCTCAGCAGCCCCAAATCCCCCCACCTCCAGAGCTGCTCGTGCCTGGGTCAGGACACCTTCCCTCTGCCACCGTGTCCTACTCTTGCTCCTGATTTGCCTTCCCTTTGCCACCGTAAGCCACCAGGCAAGGATGGAGTCACGGTTGCGTTCATAAAGCACCTTGCTCGACGCAGCCATCATCTCCTCTGCTCCTTTCTGGGTGTAAAAAGTAGAAATAAATCATAATTCGGTGAAAATCTAGTGTTACAGCATATCCAGATGAGCTTCCGATACATCCCGCAAGATAATACCATCAAAAAAAAAAACAAAACCAAAAAAACATTTTAAATTCATTACAGGCACCGCATCGTGGCATTTGAAAAGCTGCACTGAAATGGGAATAAAACAGGATTAACAAAATTCAACCTCCTCCGCCGCAATAATTTGCAGCGCTCGCTCCCGGCCGCAAATACCCAACAAAAAGCCTAAAAGAAACGAATTATGAACAGACAAACCCAAGCATTGCTCTGCTGCACAGAGCTTCCTCTGCTTCCTAACCCCTCCAACAGCAACGTTGAGTTGCTTGGAAGGTGCTGAGGTTCCAGTGAGGAGCTGGAGGAGGGACTCCAGCAGGAACGTCATGGGAATAAGCCGAGAGCAAAGAGTCTGGGGAGATCTTCTGCTTGTCACCTGGTCACATTTCCATCTATTTTATCTTTCCCGTGGAAGTGTGTGGCACGTTTCCATCACGTTAGGAAATCACTTTCACAGAATCACAGAATCACAGAATCTTCTAGGTTGGAAGGGACCTTCAAGATCATCTTGTCCAACCGTCAACCTCACTGACAAAAATAGACACCCACACAACAAACAAGGAGCATCATCACTAAACCAGACCTCCCAGCACTACATCAACCCGTCTTTTGAACACCTCCAGGGATGGGGCCTCAACCACCTCCCTGGGCAGCCCATTCCAATGGCTGAGAACCCTTCGGTGAAAAAATTTTTCCTAATATCCAGCCTGAACCTCCCCTGGCGCAACTTGAGGCCATTTCCCCTTGTCCTATCTCCTGTGACTTGAGAAAAGAGACCGACCCCCACCTCTCTACACCCTCCTTTCAGGGAGTTGGAGAGAGCAATAAGGTCTCCCCTCAGCCTCCTCTTCTCCAGGCTGAATAACCCCAGCTCCCTCAGCCTCTCCTCAGAAGACTTATTCTCCAGACCCCTCACCATCTTTGTCGCCCTTCTCTGGACCCGCTCCAGCACCTCAATGTCTTTTTTATGGTGGGGGGCCCAAAACTGGACACAGTACTCAAGGTGAGGCCTCACCAGTGCCGAGTACAGGGGGACAATCACGTCTCGAGCCCTACTCCCCACGCTGTTCCTGACACAGGCCAGGATGCTGTTGGCTTTCTTGGCCACCTGGGCACAAGGGTAAACAGAAATACAAGAGAGGTCGGTCTACGGGTGGCCACCACACCATCAGGAGGCCACTACGCCATCAGGAGGCCACCGCACCATCAGGAGGCCACCGTGCCGGTCAAATCGAGTTTGCACGGGGGATTTCCAAGCAGCACAAAAAGGGAAATGGAAATGCTTGTGCCCTGAATGAAAAGCCTGAACTTGCCGTGCTGTGAAAAGGCTGCAGAGCTCCGCTCGGGTGCTCTCGTCTCTCCGGACCAGAGCTGGGCATAACGCTCTGCATCGCGCTCTCCTGCTGTTGCCAAGGGAGAGGAATGTCCCCCATCCCTGGAACATCACTTACTTCATAGAGGCATAGAATCATAGAATGGTTCAGGTTGGAAGGGACCTTCAAGTCCATCCAGTCGCCCCCCCTGCCCTGGGCAGGGACACCTCCCACCAGACCAGGTTGCTCCAAGCCCCCTCCAACCTGGCCTTCAACCCCTCCAGGGATGGGGCAGCCACAGCTTCTCGGGGCAACCTGGGCCAGAC